GTCGACAACGAATGATGTGAGAGGTATTTGCATGTGGTTGTGTACAAATGAATAAGTGTCAAGTTCTTTTGTATTCACTTTTGTCAAGGATGATTTTGGTAACAGTCTTTACCAAAGAGTCAGCAACAACATGTCCCTTATGCCTCGTATGTGTAGTTATAATTTGTAGTATGTGCCAACTGTTGAGAACGACAGAAACAATTTGTCGAGAATGAAAGATTAACTGTCGAGATGTCATCCATTATTATGTCAATGAATTCATATTTTAGCTTTGAATGGAATGATAATGTAAGTTGGAAATAATATTGCAAGTTGAAAATGATAATGGCCTACCTCTTAAGCAAGAAGCAAGAGTTGCATGAACATAAGGCATACAATTTAGTTGGAACTCATAACAGGTGCACGTGTTTTCGGAAAAGTCTACCATGGCCGTGTCATTGGATAATTCAACTTGTGTTAAGCTGTCAGTCAATGCATGAGCTCGAAGCCTAGTACTGGCTTTGAATGTTGTCCGTAACTCATTCTCCATCCTCGATGACAGTACAGTACTACATGCGGTTGCTTGGGTTCGAAGTTCATAAAATCACCTCTGCACAGTACTCCGAATGTGTTCGACCAAGCACATAATCGGTAACGAACGAGCATGTCTAAACATTGAGTCAGAGATTTTGTGTTGTTGTTTGTCATAATGTTGTACCGCTGGCCAACGAATAGTGCTCGTAACCAAAATGAAAAACCTATTCACTCCAAGAACCCATACGATCTTGCAATTACCCTACGAATTTGTCCCATAAGTCTTTCGAACTCTTCGATTCGATAAGTTGTAGCAACTCGTTTGAATAGAAATATTGAATTCGAGTTGATGTACCACTGTATTAAGTTCTTTTCCATAAGCCGCATACAACAACCATGGTGAGACAATGGAAAGAAGTGAGAAATAGCTTTTTCAATGCTGGTTTTCCTGTCCGAAACGAATACCAGTTCATCTGAATCGCCAATAAGATCTT